GCAAACGACTTCTCCCTCCTATGTCACTTCCAGTGTTTTACCAGAAGGGGTTGTCTTTCAAGCAGGTCATGGAAACCCACTAGGAGGCACCAAAACATGCCTTTACAATTTGACCTCAGTGGTAATTACATTCAAAATACTTCGTATATAGGTCAAGCAATTCTTAAATGGTTAGATGGGTTTGAAGTGGAAGATGGCCTTTAAATTAGATCGAACAAACATCCAAATGTATTTTATAAACCCAGACATCACACCTTTCTGAGTCACTTATGGGCCATTCCCATCTGTACCGGGTCGGCCCGGGCCGGGTAGCCCCAGTCGGCCCCAGCCTGGCCCGGTTGACTCCACACATCCTTGCCTTAAGCCCATGTGGGCTGATTCTTCCCACCAATCAGAGGCTTGCTCTAATGGAAGGTGTGAATTTGCTGTCAGCAGTGGGTGTGTTGGCCCTGGTCGGCCTGAAGCAGACCCCCTCGAGAAGAGGGCTGAGAATGAGCCTTGGTTGGCCCGGAAAAATACCAGGCCACCCAGATATGTAAGCAACCTACGCTACCCGGCCCGGGCCGACCCGGTACAGATGGGAATGGCCCATAAGAAAAACTCTTAAACATACCAGGCCATGTTTCATCAGAGCTCATTCATTGTCTCATTATATATCACTGTGAGTCACCATTCATAATCATTTGCCTTTCATCATCATTAATATAGTAATAAATTGATTTTGATAATGTATATTTTTTGCTGTGTGTCAAATTATTATAAAGTGTTGTTTTCCTGGATTAACCAAATTACCTAGTTTGATCATCAATCAAATATTAAAGGCTCAATAATATTGATGATCCATGTTTTTATGGAATCTTACAATTTATTGAATACCTTTCAATTTTTTTTGACAATTTATTAAAAATAACCATCTACAAATTGTTACATTATGGCGAGCCAGCCAGGAGATGAATCAAAATGAACACTTTATTAATAATTTGAGGTTTTAAAATCTCTTTGTTGGTCTGAAACTGGACAGAGCCTCCCGTTTATTTATCTTCGCAAGCACAGTCTCATCTCATCACATCCCAACCAGTCTAAAGCTGTAAATGCAATAATATTGTATTGTTTCTAAAAAAGGAGGGGATGCTTGTGTTATTTTTCATTTGTTTTATCAGTGTTCGTGTTTGTGTAACATGGCAACCGAGGACGCTTGTAATCCAACGTTAACAAAAGCTGTCTATAACCGGATCTGATCAATCTATGATAACCGTATCTGATCAATCTATGATAACCGGATCTGATCAATCTATGATAACCGGATCTGATCAATCTATGTTAAATTCCGACTGACGAATAATTCCGGTGAAGCGAATCCGTTGTCAGGGTTCCAATTCCAGACACGCACCGTCTGAAGTTGTTAAACTGTCTCGAGAGGCTGAAAACAGTGCGCGTTCTCGCCACACACATTTCCCCACAATATGCTAATGACTAGTTCTAGCTTTTAAAGTACTGAAGGCGGCCCCAGCTTAAATGCCATGAGCATGCATGATATCAGCATAAAAACGAGAACATCAAAAATCCTCAGCTGATATAAACGCCACTGAAATCCAAATTAAAAACACCTCACCGCAGCGCCACACCTCAAATTAAACTAAAATCCCTTTGGGGTAAAGCTTGGGGTTCAAACTGGTTTTTTGAAACCATTGCTTGCATAAACAGGATGAGGAAGTTACATCATTTTTCTTTTTCTCAATTTCTCATCATTAACCCTCTCCTACCACTCAGTGCCTTAGTGCCACCTCTGGCATTTAACACTCATCCGAGTGATTTTTCTTCTCTCCCTCACAACTTATTGCTCCAGCTACAACATGTCTGATGTTGATGCTGATTCTGATGCTCAGAGTCCTATAGAGCCTATGACTGTGGGTTAGTATGCCGACTCAGCCATCCAAGACTTATCTGATCCAAGCTCTTATTCCAGGTTCACTAAGGGGTTGACACAGTCCACAACTCCTGAACAAGAGCAGATGCTGCCATCCTTGGCCGAAAAAGTGCTCGATGAAATAAAACAGATTAAAATTCCAGCTAGACTTGAAGCTTTCAATAGTTTCACCAGCCTCCTATCTCGCCTCTGGCAGAATGGAGCTGGAAACCATAAATGGTCACATCAAATCAAATCAAATTAATTTTATTTATATAGCACTTTTCATACAAAAAAATGCAACTCAAAGTGCTTTACAGATTAAAATGGCCCCATAGATCCCACATTCCCATCCAATCCCCCCTCCCCAAGTATAAAACAATTAAAAATTACAGTTCCCCTCCCGCACCCAACTTCCAAAAGTGGACATACAATCACCCGCACACTGGTCCATGCACACACACACACGCACACACACACACACACTCGTGAACACCAGCGTAAACAATAGGCTGAGTTCAGATGGGTCAGGTAATGAACGACACATCATCAGCGGAGCCATCTGCCCTGGCAGCAACAGATCCACGGCAGCAGCCAAGACACCGGCCCATGACGCCCAGTGACGTAGGGCAGAAACCCCCACCAGTGCCCGGGCACTACCTGGGGAGCGCCCCGGCCGCCGCCGCCCCTGACCACCGGCCCCAAGGCAGAGGGCTCCGCAGAGGAAACACTGGAGGATTTAAGATATATAACATATAAAATAATAAAAGCTAATAATGATAAAAAGTAACTGATAAAATAAAGAACTAAGTGTTTGAAGTAAAGAGAGACTTGAAGCAGAACAACAGATATCATCCCTCGAGGAGGCACAGACATCTGTCTGCTGACCTTGTGGTCCTGGCAAAATGAATGTGAAGTGGCAGGGAAGAGAGTTGCTACGGTAACTGGTTAAAGCTGATCATGCCCTACGAGTGGTAAAAATAGTAGAACAGGAGAAGGAAATTCTTGAGCTGAAACAAAAATGAGGAGCAACTGAAAAATGGGCCCCCTCTATTCCGGCGCCTATGGCACTACCCGACCCTGCTGGACCCAGTCATGTGGGGATGGCCACACTTACCGCCCCTCCAGCTGTGTCACCTGCTTCTCATGCCAGTCCTTTTGTCCCAGCAGTCACAACTGTTGATGTGTACAGAATGGCTTCAAACACCTCAAAATTTTAACCTCATCTGGGGAATTCGCATAAAATTCATGCTGACCTCCGTGACCTTTGCTGTCATTTAGACAGACACCCTGGAGCTACAGTCCAGGATGAGATCTTCCTGATTAAACTCACCTCCGACAGCACTGTGGGAAAGTTTATTGAGCATCAACGGGATGAAATCAGAAATGACTTAACCCATCTGCAGACAGAAGAATATGCGGGCACAGCTAAAGCAGCCTATAATTGGCTATGTCCATCAAACAGGGTTTCTCTGAGGACCCACAAACTTACTAATTCCAGCTTTTTAAAAGCTTATTTCTAACCGCGCCGCAACCTTGCTGGCATTAGCCCTGCTCCTCCAAGGTCTAGAGCTGGGTCCAGTAGCGTACCCCTGATGATCTGCGCTCTGTTCTGAGATCTGTATTTTGTGACTTGGTGAGCACCTCACCAAAGACTAAAGAGGTTCCAGTCATGTCTTCTACTGACCAGAGTGCATATACTCCTGCAGCTCCTACACATAGCTCCGTTGTCATGACAAGTCTACCATCAGTCGAACCTGCCCCAACGGTGCGTCCCGTGCAACCCATGGCCCTAGTGAGGTCTGGTTAGGGTGCGTCCATCAGTACCAGTCTTCGACCATCCAAAGCATGTCAGCGGATCAAGTCATCCCTTTCCACTGGACAAACCCGAGAAACTTAAAGTTCTGTGCGATATCTTCCGTAAAGGTCCCAAATGGAAACCTCACATGCCTGTGATGCTATTTTGGACAGTGGGTCAGACGTTGCTATCATGTCTCGTTCACTTTGGGGAAGCCTCTGCTTGACTGCGGCTGGTCAGGGTCATACCTTGACACTCACACCTTGTGCTGTGGAGGTCAGTCCTTATGCTCAGGCCACAACGACCTTGTCTTTGGTGTCTTTCCTTGACCTTTCTGTCCGTCGCATGTCGGTGTGTCATCCCGTGTTCGTGTCTGACCGTGAGTCTTTTCCTTTCTTGTTTGGTAAAGATCTCCTTGCGCCCATCATTGAACTCTGTTCTCGGTTTGTGCTTTGACATGCTCTGTCAACCCAGGGGCCTTATATAGACCGGTGTGTGCCTTTCCACATCATGTCCAATCAACTTATTTACCACAGGTGGACTCCAGTTAATCTGCTGAAACACCTCAAGGATGATCAGTGGAAACAGAATGTGCCTCAGCTCAATTCTGAGCTTCACGTCAAACGCTGTGAATACTTATGTTCACGTGATTTCTCAAGTTTTTTATTTTTAATACATTTGCAACAACTTCAAAGACACTTTTTTCACATTATCATTATGGGATGTTGAGTGTTTAATTTTATGGGCAAAATGAATTTAATCCATTTTGGAATGAGGCTGTAACATCAACAAAAAAGTGGAAAAAGCGAAGCGCTATGAATGCTTTCCAGGTGCACTGTATGTGGACTATACATTGTCCCTTGTTTTCAGCATCTTAAACTTAGGTTAAACACACCATCTGTCCATTTTACATGCAGTTTAGATGGTTTAGCTGCCTGCTTAAAAAGCAGCCTGAGGCTCACAAGATGTGGTGCAGGAAGCACCGAGTCCACCTCCAGTACGTTAGACGCTGGTGCTCATCTGTCTGGGTGTGGGTCAGCCTGAGCCCCTGAGGACTGGAGAGGTTTCACACTCTAACCCAACCCCAGTTGTACCCCCCATGTTCCTACGGAGACATACCTGCATCCGGCCCGGGGTTCTGTTAGCATGCTGCTGCTTCTGCAGGTTCAGAACTGGTGTTGTTGGGTTTCTGCAGGATTTCCAGTCTACCTACGTGGATGTGAAGTTACTCTGGCTCTGAGGCTCCCTTTAAATGATTGTCAGATGCATCATACTGGTTCTGTTCTTGTGTCACAGCAGGGTCTGGAGATCAATGTGCTTTCTGACATCATCAGCCCACTGGAGAAAGACGACAGAGAGGAAGCACACAGAGATGAAGAGAGGGGCGACGGCGGAGCGAAGACTGAGAGGTGGTTTTAGTTTTCACACTGAAGGATGTGTTTAGAGGATGGTCTAATTGACCCTATCATGTTGGTAGAATCTGTCTGACAACAGGAAGTAGGCTAGAAGATCTCAAAAGCAGCACCTCAGGTCTTGTTGTGATGAAATTCAGTTAAAGGACCCAGAACGTCTGCATGTGAGACCATAATGAGCACAAACAACCATCGTGATGATTTCTGAGACTTTCAGCAAGAATTCCTGCAGATACAGTTCTGTTGTCCCAAAGAAGAGGATCTGACCTGTGACGTAAACAGCCCCCCCCCCCCCAACTTTGTTTTTCATCTTCATCCTTCCTTTGTAAATAAACCTGACCTGCACTTTGACGAACTCATGGTAACAGGGGTGTCTTTGTCTCTTAGTCAGGTGCTGTCTCAAGATGACAACATTAAAGATGACCAACTCGTGCTGCACAGGTCCAGCCCCTCGCCCCCCCTCTCCAGCACCCCCCACCATCAGGAAGCACAAGGCTTAGTGGGGCTGCAGAGACCTGAAACCTCCAGAGGACGGCGCTCCCAGATTTTAGACGGTCAACTTGAAGGTGATGAACCCTCTTCAGAAAAACAAGGAGAACCTTTCGAGCCGAGAGGGAAATTCCAGAAGGAGGAGGAGGAGGAGGAAGTCGGGGATAGGGCTCAGCACGTGGAGAAGGAATGTAAGAAGGAAGAAGGGGAGACGATGAGGAAAGAGACTGAACAGGAGATACAGAAGGAGAAGGAGTGTTTGTTAAAGAAAAAGGAGAGGAAAATGCGTCTCCTCCAGGAACAGCTGAGGAAAGAGGAGGAGGAAGAGGAGAGGAGACTGAAAGAGGAGAGTGAAGAACGACTGAGGTGTGTGGACCACACGAAGCAGGAGACCTCACCAGATGTTTCATACCATCATGTCTGTTTGATCTAAGCACTCTGACTGTGTCTTATCTGTGGTCAGGGTGCTGCAGCAGCATCTGTTGTCCAAGAGGAGAGAGGAGGAGGCGCGGCTGAAAGAGGAGTCCCTCGGATCGCTGGAGGAACTGAAAGAGTCCGTCCGAAGGGAGAGAGAGATGCAGCAACAAAAGATCAGGTTGTAAAGTCTAACTTGTCTCTAGGGCTTTGGGTTCAAATCTATCAACCCATGCAGGTCTGGATTTAGAGTTACACTCATAATTAAAGTGTAAACACTACAGGCTGATCCAGCTGTGATGCCTTAAAACAAGTCAGAATGATGCTCAGTAGTGTGTGTTGCCTCCACGTCTCCAGACTGTCTCCACGTGTGTGAACTTGCTTTCATCTGCACAGGGCACAAGTGGCCAAAACGCCATGTCTTTGTTTTTTCTGGCAAATGCCAAATGTCTTGCAGTGTGTTGGGCTGTGAGCACAACCCCCACCTGTGAACGTCGGGTTCATGGAGTCTGTTTCTGACTTAGATCAGACACATGCACCGTTGTGGCCCACTGGAGGTCATTTTGCAGGGCTCTGGCAGTGCTCCTCCTGTTTCTCCTTGCACAAAGGCACAGGTAGCGGTCCTGCTGCTGGGTTGTTGCTCTCCTACGAGCTCCACATCTCCTGATATACTGGCCTGTCTCCTGGTAGCGCCGCCATACTCTGGACACTACGCTGACGGACAGCAAACCTTGCAACAGCGTGCAGGAATGTGCTATGCTGGATGAGATGCACTACCTGAGCCACTTCTGTGGGTTGTAGACTCCGTCTCATGTTACCAGTAGAGTTCAAGCACCACCAGCATTTAAAGGTGACCTAATCATCAAATCAAATCACTTTTATTGTCACGTCACATGTGCAGGTACACTGGTACAGTACATGCGAGTGAAATTCTTGTGTGCGAGCTTCACAGCAACAGCGTTGTAAAAATACAGTAATGTAAAAACAAGTAAAATATAAAAATGGCTAATCTAAATATACAAATGAATAAAGTAAACAATAAGATAAGAGATATAAAATATACAGAGGCTGGTATGTGCAAAACAGTGGCATTAATGTACAGTATGGAGCGTGTAATGTTGGAGTTTCAGTAGTGAGGGTGAGGTGTCTGCGCCGTGTTCAGCAGTCTGATGGCCTGATGGAAAAAGCTGTCTCTCAGTCTGCTGGTTCTGGACCGGATGCTGCAGAACCTCCTTCCTGATGGAAGTAGTCTGAACAGTTTATGGCTGGGGTGACTTGAGTCCTTGATGATCCTCCCCGCTTTCCTCAGGCACCGCTTCTTATAGATGTCCTGGAGGGAGGGAAGCTCACCTCCAATAATCCTTTCAGCACACCGCACTGCTCTCTGGAGAGCTTTGCGGTTGTAAGCGTTGCTGTTGCCATACCAGGTGGAGATGCATCCAGTGAGGATGCTCTCAATGGCACAGCGATAGAAGGTCCTGAGGATGCGGCGGCTCATGCCAAATCTTTTCAGTCTTCTGAGAAAGAAGAGGCACTGCTGTGCCTTCTTCACTGTATTTTCCGTGTGCACTGACCACGTAAGATCCTCTGCCAGATGAACTCCAAGGAAACGGAAGCTGCTCACCCTCTCCACAGCGTCGCCGTTGATGGTGATGGGGGTGTGTATTCCTCTGCTCCTCCGGAAGTCCACTATCATCTCCTTTGTCTTTGTGACGTTGAGGGTGAGACTGTTGTCCTGACACCAGTGGGTCAGGGCGCTGATCTCCTCCCTGTAGGCCGTCTCATCGTCGTTGGTGATGAGACCTACCACTGTGGTGTCGTCCACATACTTCACAATGATGTTGGAGTTTCTCGTGGCCGTGCAGTCGTAGGTGTAGAGTGAGTACAGGAGAGGGCTCAGCGCACACCCCTGCGGAGCACCAGTGTTCAGTGTGACGGGGGATGAGGTGGTGCCGCCCAGTCTGACCACCTGGCGTCTGTCAGACAGAAAGTTCAGGATCCAGCTGCAGAGGGAGCTGCTCAGTCCTAGATCCTGCAGTTTCCTGTCCAGCTTCGAGGGAACAATGGTGTTGAATGCTGAGCTGTAATCGACAAACAGCATTCTCACATACGTGTCCCTCTTCTCCAGGTGTGACAGGGCAGCATGGAGTGTCAGGGCTATGGCATCATCAGTGGACCTGTTGTGGCGGTATGCAAACTGTAGAGGGTCCAGTGAATCGGGCAGTGCAGAGCAGATGAAGTCCCTGACCAACTTCTCGAAGCATTTGCTCACGATGGGGGTCAGGGCTACAGGTCGCCAGTCATTCAATGTGGAGATGGTGGAGGATTTGGGTACAGGGACAATGGTGGCCATTTTGAAGCAGGCTGGGACTACAGACAGAGAGAGGGAAAGGTTGAAGATGTGTATAAACACATTCCTTACAATCATCAGCCGGGAAGCAGAGGAACCAGAGATGGGACCAAGTCATTGTTTTGCAAGTCTCAAGACCAAGATAAGACTGAGATCCTCATCCGTGCCCCAGACAAGCTGGTTCCCAAAGTCAGAGACTCTCTTGGTCAGCTTGCTTCTCACACCAAACCCTCTGTCAGGAATCTTGGCGTGACCTTTGACCCAGCTCTCACCCTGGATTCTCATGTCAGTTCTCTTGTTGGCTCTTCCTTCTTCCATCTCAGGAACGTTGCTAAGCTGAGTCCCGTTCTGTCCCGCTCTGAACTTGAGACAGTTCTCCACACCTTCATCTCCTCACGCTTAGACTACTGTAACTCTCTTTTCACGTGTCTGAGCAGAACCTCCCTGAACCGTCTACAGGTGGTTCAGAACGCCTGTGCTCGGCTTCTGACCAAGTCCTCCAAACACACCCACATCACCCCGCTTCTCCTCCAGCTTCAACTTCAGGGTTCATTTAGTCCCGAGTCTAAAACGGCACCTGTAATTCCTTTATGTTCCTAATTATTTTCACTGGCAGTCAGTCTGAATATTTAGGTCAACAAGCAGAACTGGTATCACTACTGAGTCATTTTAAGGACGTTTTTACTCACAACACTAGTTGGATCCATTCACTTACTGTGTTTTATGCTAAGCTAAAGCTAAATGAGTACAGCCAGGTCAGAAGAAGGACTGGGCTGGTTAAAAATTGTTTTTTCCCACAGATCTAATGCTGCGAAATTTGTCAACAGACAAAATTTTAAATTTGGGTAGAAAACTCATTCACTTGCAGCTATTATCTGAACAGAAAGCCCCTGACTGCCAGCATTTTTAAGCATTTTTACAGTTTTTTTAAGAGTCACAGAATATTGTGCTCTATGATCATGTAAACACCAATACTGAGTAGGTTCACTTCTTACTTCTGCAGTGCTGCTCACCTCTCTCCTTGTAAGACCTGCTCAATACTTGCCTCTGTTCAGTTAACAGGTTTCTCCTTCTCCTTCTTTTCTGGAAGCCAGATTTCCTTTTCTTGGGGAAGACATGACTTCCTGCCTCCAGCTCTGGCAGTCAGCGATATCAGTGCCTCATTAGGGGTGCAGCCCAGGCAGCAGGTGTGGACTAAACCACTTAGCACAGTTTTAAGGGGTGATAGATGCCTCAGAGAGAATTCACTTTATATTTTTAAGGCAATATTCTTTTTCTTACCATCTTCATCCAGGTAAAGGGAAGTTTATTAAGACATTCAGTAAGTCGAGGAAAAAGAAACACAATCAAACATTTTATTCAAGGCTGTCTCAGAGCCCCTCCCTGCAGTGGGTCCTGGGTAAATAGTACCCTATTTCCCCCCAGTCCAACACAACTGCAGTAGAAGAGTTAAGTACAGCAGCTTTGGGGCCCCCTATTGGCTTGGAGGCCCTATGCAACTGCATAGGTTGCACACATCTTGCACATAGGAAAAAATGGCCATGCCCGCGGGCACCAGAGGATGGTGCCGCCCTTTGCTGCCCGCGCTCTCCTTGTTGAGCCCACTTATGCTGGTGTGTTTATGTTGTGTTTTTTGTGAAAAAGCGCTTTGGAGTCCTTACTTTGAGAGGAGCTATACAAGTGCGGTCATTTATCATTTACCAACACCGTCCTCTGCTGCCTGCCGATAACAGAGAAAAAGAGACACTGCCAACAGCGGTGAGCTCTGAAGAGGCCTGCGGGAGTATGTGGCATTGCCACATCAGACCGGAATAAAAGAAAAGACTTTATGTTTGTTGTACAGAGAATATGAGAATATGGTCAATCATCAGGGTAGGATTGTAAAACTGTGTAACTGTTTGTTTTCTTTTCCACTGAATGTAATTGTGTGAGTCGGGTTTGCTCATTTATTTATCAGTGTGTTTGTGTTGTTGACCACACCCCGAGCTAATAAGAGAGGGCAGCGTCAGGTGTGAGGAAGAAGAGAGAAAAAGCCCGTCTGAGTGCATCTGGGTGTGGTGCAGCCTGCATTTTTAACAGATAAGTCTACCACCTACCGGAGCCATGTCAGTCAGTGTGAGTGATCGTTAAAATTAAATAAACTTAAGGCTTTAAGCTCAAGAGAAATACTAGACGATCATACACTGGAGCGTGCTTGGCGACCAGCGCTCTCCTGTTGAGTGAGAGGACGCACCCCACATCACCTGCCTGACTGTGGATTGGCGGGGTCAGATCGGAGGATGGACCGGGTTATTAGCTGCTGAACCTCATGAGATCAAGCCTTTTTTTTCTTTTTGTGGTATACCACTTATTCTTTTCATTTTTGCTAGCGTCTGCATTGTTGCCATCTTTTTTATGGGACTTTTTGATTGCGTTCGGGTGTGTGCATTGTGCACCAGTCAGAGACTTCAGAAGCGCATGACAGTGGCGCTGTAGATGGACATTTAGGGGATTAATTTTCAGAGGTTATGCCTTGTATGAACGTCGCGTCATTCAAGTTTCAAATAATAATATAAACATACGTGGGAGAACTCAAGTGGTTTGTGTTACGTGTCTTTATTTGTCAGGGAGTGTTTGTATGGAAGCTCTTTTGTGCCAAGAGAGTGTGATCATTTATTCGAAGGTCTTGTGCTTAATTGTGTTCTTCCAAATTAGCAATCCATCTCCTAAACGAGAGTGAGAGTGATTGTTATAAGTAGTCAAAACAGCAGCAAAAAAGAAGGTAATCAACCCTTTTCAGTAAAAGAGCCAAGTTAAGCAGTTAGAGTAAAACCATTTTTTGTGCTGAAAAGCCATTTGTATAAGTTAACCCAGGGGTCGGCAACCCGCGGCTCCGGAGCCGCATGCGGCTCTTCCATCCATCTGATGCGGCTCTCTGTGCTTGTAAAATAATGACTGGATATTTAGAAAAAATGCTTTATATTTTACTGCATTAATTTTATATCTGTAAGTCAATTCTATGTAAAGATTGTCTGCGTAAACCTGAACAGGTCCAACCCGGTCTTACTGTGTGACCGGGTTGACGCGTCACGCTTGTGCGTAATCATAGGCGCTGTCTGAGCTGAAGAGGATGTGAGATTCTGGGCTTCTCCTCAGACGGCTCCTGGATGTGTCGCCACATTGGAGACAGGAACAAGCGCTATTCAGCCAACGTTTCATAATCAGGAACATTTTCTAAGTGACAAGTCTCGCTTCAGTCGGAGGAATCTTCCTGCATGCGCTCTGGTTCTGCGACGTGCTCCAAGCCCCTCTCCACATCTTCAGCTCGCTGTGGACCTTATGTACACGCTGACAGTGAGCTGCGCTGAGCAGTGTCCAGCTCAGATGTTCAGATGGGAATCTTTTCTTGAGTGATTTAGCTACATCTGCGATTTGCGTAGAATAAAATGTCAGTTCGTCTGCATGCGTCGGGGTAATTCTTTCTATTCTTTCTCCGTCAAAATAAACGGTCAAATACGGGAACTATCCGGTCAACACAACACGAGCCCTGCTTTTGACTTTCTGTTTTCTTGTGAAAATTGTTGCAAAGAGATAAAATTAAACTTGATTAACACCAGAGCCAGGCGCACTGCGCCGGTATCTCCGTCGCTGTAAATGAGGGAAAAACAAGATGATCGGATCCTTTTCTGACCTTCCCCACCTACAAAGTTTAATTACAACAATCAAACGTGACAGAGCCTGGATTTGTATTCTGAACAGTCTAAACATGTTTTAAAAAGAAACGTATGACAAAAGTGGCACCTGCTCAGTAAAACCACCAACAGGGTGAAAAATATCTAAATATTGTCGGCAGAGACGGGCTACAACTTCTGGATCCACTTTATATAAATCGTTCTATTGATAATCGTCTTATGAAAGATAACTTTGACATACACGAGCGACCGGTACCGGCTGCTGTCACCTGTTGTGATTGGTTAAAGCCTCTCTCTGCTGTCTGAGGGTAGGCCCCGCCCACACCGCCGCGGCTGCTGTGGCTCCCAGTGTTTTCTTTACTGTGGGAAACGGGTAATAATGGCTCTTTGATGGGAACAGGTTGCCGACCCCTGAGTTAACCCTATTTCAGCTTGAGCTCCTGAAACCTCCCCGCTGATGTTTGTCTGTTTCACACATTCAGGGATGAGATTGAGGTGATGATAAAGGAGCTACGGATCACTCAGGAGGAGGAACGAGCTGCAGCACACGGCAGGCTGGAGGCACAGATGAAGCAGGATCTGGAACGTTTGAGGGCAGACTCAGAGGAGGAGCTGCAGGCTGAGAGGAGGAGACTTCTGAGGGAGCAGGAGGAGAAACTGAGCTGTCTGAAACAGGAGGTGAGGAGGAGGCTAATTATGCTAAAAAGCTGTTTGACTTTTTACTTTCAATTTTATCTTGTGCCTGGAGGGTTTTTGCAAATTTATATTTCTCACAAACTGAGAATAAATCTATCAAGAATAACAGGGATTGTATAGGCAATCTCGTTCTTTCGGTCACTACCGAAAGCTTGTGACCATAGGTGAGGGTAGGAACGTAGATCGACTGGTACAACGCCTGCATCGCTGCAGACGCAGCACCAATCCACCAATCGATCTCGCGCTCCAGGTTTCCCTCCCTCGTGAACAAGGCCAAGAGATACTTCAACTTCTCCACTTGGGGCAGGACCTTATGCCTGACCCAGAGAAGGCATTCTACCCTTTTCCGATACAAGACCATGGTCTCGGAGTTAGAGGAGCTGATCTTATCCCAGCTGCTTCACACTCGGCTGCAAACCACTCCAACAAAAGTTGGAGATCACGTTCCGATGAAGCCAACAGGACCACATCATCTGCAGAAAGCAGAGATCGTCAGACCACCAAAATAGATCCCCTCAACACCTTAGCTGCACCTAGAAATCCTGTCCATAAAGGTTATGAACAGAATCAGTCACAAAGGGCAGCCTTGGCCTAGTCCAAATCCCACCGGCAACAAGCCCGACTTACTGCTGGCAATGCGGACCAAGTTCTGACTGGTCATAGAAGAAGAAGAAGAAGAAGAAGAAGAAGAAGAAGAAGAAGAAGAAGAAGAAGAAGAAGAAGAAGAAGAAGAAGAAGAAGAAGAAGAAGAAGAAGAAGAAGAAGAAGAAGAAGAAGAAGAAGAAGAAGAAGAAGAAGAAGAAGAAGAAGAAGAAGAAGAAGAAGAAGAAGAAGAAGAAGAAGAAGAAGAAGAAGAAGAAGAAGAAGAAGAAGAAGAAGAAGAAGAAGAAGAAGAAGAAGAAGAAGAAGAAGAAGAAGAAGAAGAAGAAGAAGAAGAAGAAGAAGAAGAAGAAGAAGAAGAAGAAGAAGAAGAAGAAGAAGAAGAAGAAGAAGAAGAAGAAGAAGAAGAAGAAGAAGAAGAAGAAGAAGAAGAAGAAGAAGAAGAAGAAGAAGAAGAAGAAGAAGAAGAAGAAGAAGAAGAAGAAGAAGAAGAAGAACATGAACATTTCTATAGCGCCTCTCAAGATAAAAATGACGAGGTGCTTCACAAAAACAAAAAATATAAAAAAGAATTTAGAAAATGATTAAAAATATATTTAAAATGATGCTGGGGGCCACAGCAGCAAATGATCTGTCACCTTTGACCTTTAGCCTGGTGCTGCACAACTAGTAGGCTTTGGTCACTGGACCTCAGGGACCTGCTGGGGGTGTAGGGACTAAGAAGATCACCAATGTAAGATGGTGCTTGTCCATGTAAGGCCCTATAGACCAGAACCAGGATCTTGAAATGAACCCTGAAGTTGACTGGCAGCCAGTGAAGCTGGAGGAGAAGTGGTCAGTCTCTCATAAACAATGAAGATGGCAGCTCCTTCCTTCCATCCATCCATCCATCCATCCATTTTCAACCACTTATCCAGAGTAGTGTCGCGGGGGCAGCAGCCAAAGCCGAGACCCCCAGACTTCCCTCTCCCCTGCTACTTGGGCCAGCTCTTTCGGGGGAAATCCCGAAGTGTTCCCTGGCCAGCTGAGAGACATAATCCCTCCAGAGTGTGCTGGGTCTTCCCTTGGGTCTCCTCCCAGTTGAACAGTTCCGGTAAACCTCACCAGTGAGGCGTCCCACCCAAATGCGGATCTACTTCGAGCCCCTCCCGGATGACCGAGCTTCAAACCTGATTTCCAAAGGAGGGCCCAGCCAACCTGCGGAGAAAACAAATTTTGGCCACGTATATCCGCGATCTCGTTCTTTCGGTCACTACCCACAGCTCGTGACCATAGGTGAGGGTAGGAACGTAGAGCGACCGGTCGATCGAGAGCTTCGCCGTCTGACTCAGCTCTCTCTTCACCACAACAGACCGATACAACGTCCGCATCACTGCAGATGCAGCACCAATCCACCAATCGATCTCACGCTCCAGTTTTCCCTCACTTGTGAACAAGACCCCGAGATACTAAACTCCTCCACTTGGGGCAGGACCTCATTCCTGACCCGGAGAAGGCATTCTCCTTTTCCTAATCAAGACCATGGTCTCGGATTTAGAGGAGCTGATTCTCATCCCAGCTGCTTCACACTCGGCTGTGAACTGCTCCAGCGAAAGCTGGAGATCACTGTCCGATGAAGCCAACAGGACCACATCATCTGCAAAAAGCAGAGACCTAATCATTAGGCCAACAAAACAGATTCCCTCAGCACCTTGGCTGCTCCTAGAAATCCTGTCCGTAAAAGTTATGAATAGAATTGGTGACAAAGGACAGCCTTGGAGGAGTCCAACTCTCACCGGAAACGAGCTCAACTTACTGCCGGCAATGCGGACCAAGCTCTGACAATGGTCATACAGGGACCTAACAGCCCTTATCAAAGGGCCTGGTACCCCATACTCCCGGAAAACCCCCCACAGGCCCCCCCCCCCGGGGCATGCTTTTGAACGCCTTCTCCAAATCCACAAAACACGTAGATTGGTTGGGCGAACGTCCACACACCCTCCAAGATCCCCCTAAGTGTACAGAGCTGGTCCAGTGTTCCACAGCCAGGACGAAAACCACATTGTTCCTCCTGAATCAGAGGTTCATCTATCCGATGGGCCCTTCTCTCGAAAACCCCTGAAAAGAGCTTACCAGGGAGGCTCAGAAGTGTGGTTCCCCTGTAGTTCGAACATACTCTGCGGTCCCCCTTTTTAAATAAGGGGACCACCACCCCAGTCTTCTAATCCAGCGGAACTGCCTGTGATGTCCATGCAATACTGCAAAGCCGCTAGCCTGGCCTGCCAGACTCCTGTTTAATTCTGCACAGAGGAAGAGTCTGGGAACTCTCCCATTCAAATAACCCCACCCCCTGAGAATTGTAACCGAGCCAATCAGCTCTGAGTAGCGCATGTCACACACCACAATGCTGAGTTTGTCATAAACATGGCGACTGAAGCAGAGTTGGCTGCAGCTCTTTCCTCTGGTCTAAATGACTTGAACGTCTTTAAAACCACAAGTAGAAGCGCTAAAATCCTTTCTTTCAAAAAAATGATGTTTGCGCCATTGCCAGGCGCCATTTTTGATTACAGCTAAAAACTGCAGGTTGCATAGATGTAAACCTTAAACATAATATATAACAAATTAATTAAATAATTAATAATAAGATTAAAAGACTCTGAAAAACATTTTAGGTGAACAAATAAACAAAAAGATATATTTTTTATGTTCAAAATCAAGGTTACTTCAGTTAAGTTTTACTGTCAGCAAATGAGTGCAGGGACAAAGGAAAAAACCAATATCGTCCATTGATCAACTACTACAAGTTGAGTACCTTAAGTTTCAATTTCACACACTGCAAAAATCCTCATGCAGTGTTTTCATCATCCATCATCATCATCATCACATCATCATCATCATCATCTTTAATTATCTTTGGCGAACCAAAGTGCTGCACAAAAAACCCATCATTGACCCATACAATGGCTGACAAAAATAGAGAGAAAACAAATAAAAGCAGGCGATAAGAGTAAAGAGTGTTCGTAAAAGAACAAGATAAAACAAGTAAATACAACTGGATAAAAATGAGCTAAATTATCTAAAAAATATGGCTAGCTCACATGCTGAGGGAACTCATTTTGTGATGCTGCTTCAAACACGCAGTGAGGTTGGACGTATTAAACTTTCCCAGTTCTTAGGAGAAACTTGTGCATGGCAAATGTTGCACTGAGCCACAAACTTTAACAAAAAATACTGCTACTTGGCCAGCATTGCGCTTGTTTCGTGATACTTCGCCAACGCACACTGTTCTGATCATTTGGGATTTGCATGCTGAATCTGGGAGCTGCTGGATAGAATTGCTAGAATGAAATATAAAGCTGAAGGGACTGCTTATGTCGGAGATTTTTGATGCAGTCTGATATAATCGAATAGAGTGTTTTTGGGCTGATATCAGACCTATTTCCGATATCGATATCATAACAAGACATCCCTAGTAGACACTAGGGGTTGTATCAACTAGTCGACATCACTGCTCTGTAGGGACTTATTATGCCTTTCATAGACTAGTCGCTGTCACGTGATAGTGACCGACAAAATGGAGTCCTCAGAAAAGACAGCAGGTGACGAGCCGGGTGGGTCATTACAGCAAACTAGCAGAAATGTTTCAGTTGTGTGGAAGTACTTCACTAAAGATGAATCTTCTAGTTCTGTAACATGTAAAATCGGCAAGTCCGTTCTAAAATATGACAAAAGTACAAGTTCTATGCACTAGGGCTGTCGCGTTGAGGAATTCCCCCTGCGGTGAGTCTATGCACCCCCGTTTTTATTTATGTACTTAGCAAATTTGTTTGTTAATTACTAAACTCATGGCAATATTTCCTTTGAAACATTGTGCTTACACATTTAAAAAATGTTAGAAAAAATGCATGGCCATTTTTAACACTTTATTGAATGCAGATCGAAGGGCAGTAACGACATTTTCTGACTGAACTTAAAAACAACATTCAGGAGGTTTAACTTTGAAATGCAAATTTGGCTGCAACATATAACAGGCAAATTTGGCTGCAACATATAACAGAAATAAAAAAAGTGCCCTTTTTGTTTTGTAATTTAAAATAAAGTATACAAAATGAGATGTCCTAGGCACTGTCATTTCACTTTCACACACAAGAATAACATAACTCGGTCATGTCCTAGCATGTTAACTTTATGCGGTTTGAGAGAGGATCTGAGAGGGGTGACAACATTTCCAGCGACACAAAAACCCTCTCGGATGGTGCGCTTGTTGCGCAAATACACATGTACTTACGTCCGACTTTGGAGAGCAATGGAAATCTCCCATGTTTGTTGCGCCACCATGTCATAGGGTTTTCATTAGGGTCAATGGGTTCCTCCTGCAGGTAGCGAGTGAGCTCCAGCTCGGCTCTAACTCTCTTCGGGACGGTTACAGAAGACGTGCTTGTCCGTGACTTCAGCACGTCTCCAAGGGTTTTTTTCTTTGCCGCTGGTGGCAGCACTGCCTGCTCCAAGGTCTCTGGCTGGGCTGCAGCTGACGCACTGACACCGCTCCCTCCATTTTCCATGTGTACTGTCTCCTCGATCAGCGCGGACTTTACCTCTCAGCATGCGCTGTCGCGAGATTTAATCAAGTGCGGTAATGGCGGTGGCACGTCCTGCAGCGCGGTGGGTTTCTTAATATCGCGATATTTTCTTCTTGCGGTTACCGCGACAGCCCTACTATGCACATGCATTTGAAAAGGCATCCGCTAATGCCAGCTGAGGGACAACCCAAGTCATCTGTTCAGCAGTCAGTCAGCGCTTTCACCAAACGTCCAGCTGTAAGAGAAAGACGGCGGCAGCAAATCACCAATTTGTGGTGATTTTTATCGTGGAAGACATCTGACCATTAGCTGCTGCCCACGGAGACAGCTTCAGAGACCTACTGAATTTAATCGAACCTGGTTACAATGTCCCATCCTACAACACACTGTGGAACACCATTGCACACTGGTATGATAACCTGCGTGGAAATATTGGTGAGGAAATGAAAGGCCAGAGTATTACGCCAACAACTGATCTGTGGACATCTTCCACCATGGAGCCGTATATTACTGTAACTGCTCACTACATTACTGATTCATGGCAGCTGAAGACCCAGGTGCTCTGTACCGCTGTGATGCCAGAGAGGCACACAGCTGTACACATTACTGATCGGCTGTCTAAAATAATCAGTGAATGGGGAATGCAGGTGCTTTGTACAGACCACGATAATGCCAGTAACATGAATCTAGCCATGGAGCTATGCGAGATGTTTCCATATGATCTGGGCTGCACCGGGCACACACTGTAGCTGGCAATTAAAGCTGGATTAGTTTTACCCGAGGTTGTGAAAAGCTGTCGACGCAGCAAGAAGAGTTGTCAGCCACTTTCGCCACTCTTCACTTGCATCTTGCGCTCTGAAGAAGCGTCAGGAACAGCTTGGCGTAAAATCCAACATACTCCAGACTGACTGTCCTGTTCGGTGGAATTCCACTGTTGTCATGCTCCAGCGGCTGTTCGAGCAGAGGATCGCGGTCCAGTCCGTGCTTGCAGATGAAGCGGTCACAAAGTCAAGAGTCCAGAAGTCACTTGCCATGAGAGCCTCCCAGTGGGAGCTTGTGGAACAGCTGATTCCTGTGCTGCACCCTCTGGCAAAGGCTGCTGAAATAATGTGTGGCGAGTTGCACGTTGGGCTCTCTTTCATTTATCCTGTGATTTTCAACATGATCAGCAGCACTCTGTGTGTTGAAGAGTCTGACCTGGCAGCTGTACGCACTTTCAAAAGCACGGTCCGACAACAGCTGGAAACGCGCTTCAAACTGAGGTCTGAGGATCTGACAGAATCTATCCCGATAGTTGCGTGCATGTTAGACCCTCGCTTCAGACATCTTTAGTTCATCCCGCAGAATAAAAGAGAGGAAGCCCAGAGACACCTGGATGTCCTGCTACAAAACGGAGAGCCGCCTGTAGCAACAAGTAGGTCCACTGAACTTGAATACGCTCATATTACTCAAATGCATGCAGCATAGGTAGCTTTAAACTTATCATCTCAGGTGAAGCACAGGCCGAAGACACAACTGAAGCTCAAAGTGAGCCGATGACTGGGACAAAAGCCAGGCTCGAGGAAGACTTTGTGCTACTTTTTGGACCGCATTATCAAAGTGCAGGAGATCAACTCACTGCTCCACTGCAGCTGAAGAAATCCGGGATTATTTTTCAACACCACACATTGCCACCATAGACAATCCGCTCTAGTGGTGGTCCCGCAACCAGGATAGATTTCCCCGTTTGGCAAAGCTAAGCAAAAGCTATTTGGCTGTTCCAGCTACCAGCACCCCAAGCGAGAGAATTTTTTCACTTGCCTAGAATACGATCACCCGACAGCGGGCGAGCCCTCATCCGGATCATGTGGATGCACTAATTTTCTTGCATGTAAACCAGGATCGAAAACAAGTGACCAAACAGACTGTCGGCAGCGGGTAAACGTTTATGTTTTTTGTGGACTTATTTTTTTAGGAGTTTTTGTTTTGCGTACTTAATTTTACATGTTACACAAGAGTTACGTGATTAATGTTACTGATTGGCAGCAATAAGCCTGCTTGTTCTCTTTTATGCTCTGCATTCAAGAATGTTTTTGAAGCTGATTGTTGTCACCATTTGCAATAAGGGTTGTCAATAAAGCCTGTCAGGTGTCCTAAAGCTGTCCTGTCTGTACTGCGTTTATTCAACATATTCTCACACCCGAAGCATCGAAAAATGACGCGGTGTGACCAAGCGTTTGTTTCCAATGCATAGGGTGCCCCTGAGCGTTGGGAGGCAACGCGCTGTGCCAGAGCGTCCGTATCTGACCCCCACGGTAAAGCGGACATTTGACCGAATTGTGACCTTTACCCTCTTGCTATTTAACCTTCCCCTCACCCCCATCCTAACCTTAGCCAGCTTGCACCTGCAAAGGTTTGTTTCGCATTTCATCGTCCCTCTCAAACACGCTTAACGGAAAATTTAGACTGACATACTGGGTCAAGGTTAGCGTGGGGGTGAGGGTAAGGTTAAATAGCAAGAGGGTAAAGATCGCAATTCGGTGAAATCTGTTTTACCGCGGGCATCAAAAAGCGATGCTGTGGCACAACATGTCGCCTCCCGACGTGCGTCGGAAAAAATGCACCAGTTACCCATCGTCAGTTTTAGCCGCTTCAGGTGTAAGACATCATCACTGACTAGCTAATGTCGACTAGACTTTCATTACTTGACTGTCGACTTAAAAAAAATAAGTCATGCAGCCCCTAGTAGACACACACACACACACACACACACACACACACACACACGTCATTATTAACTCTTTAAATATGAGCTGAGACTGGTAGCCTGAAACTGAAACCCATTTATCCGTTTCTTGGTCTCTGGCTGCCCAGCTGGGCGATGTGCTGCAGAAGGTACGACAGGAGGTGCAGTGTGATCATGAGAGGAAGCTGGAGCAGCTGAAGGAGGACCACAGCAGGGAGATGAACAGCATCAGAGAGAAATATGCGAAGGAGGTCAGAAAGGCTTTAATATTTAAACTAGGGATGTCCTAATCTGATCATGTGATTGGAAATCTGTCCCGTTCACTTGCTTTCAGACTCGGGATGTAACGCCCGATCCCACTCTGGACTCGGATACAAGGTTCAAATTACAGGGGAGCTAAAGGGAACCTGGTTCTCCTGACAGGTTGTCGGGCTCCCCTGAAGCCCTCAACCTAGAGGGAACCCCAAAAAAGATCCAGTGTCTACCTATATTATATTATTAATATGGACTCTCTGCATAGCGGGGATTCTTTTGAGCGAGGACGCAGAGCGTGACAGCATCGTGCGGTTGCCCTAGGCAGCTGCATCCTGCACACAGCCTCAGTAACATTTTCAAAGTGTCGACACCCAAAACATATATAACTAACACATGATCGTTCATGTCCATTCATATTCTCTCTAGTGATTTATGTCTTTTATTCGAGCCTGAAGCGAATAGCTGGGTTTCACATCTACGTGGGGCGACAGTGGCACAGGAGTTCAGTGCTCCCCCCGTCATCGGAAGGTTGCAGGTTCAAGCCCTGCTCAGTCTGACACTGTCGTTGTGTCCTTGGGCAAGACACTTAATCCACCTTGCCTGCTGGTGGTGGTCGGAGGGACCGGTGACGCTTGTGTACCGCAGACTCGCCTCTGTCCGTGCGCCCCAGGGCCGCTGTGGCTACAATGTAGTTTATCACCACCAGGGCGTGAATGTGTGAATGACTGATTGTGTTGTAAAGGCCCTTGGGGGGCTCCAGGGCTCTAGAAGGCGCTAAATCAAATACAGGCCATTTACGTCACCAAATGCAGATGGGGTCCGGAAGTAGCCGGTGCTCTGTTGGAACAGGTACGTCTGACCTTTGTGCAGACGCGCAGTCGCACGTGACACAATTAATACACCAGTAAGTCATTCAAAAACATATGAAAGTAAGCCAGTCACTACAAACAACAAGAGAGCATACACACTTTATTTACAATCGCCATCTGTCCACGGTGCTAAAAGAAAAAGACGCATCCACTGCGTTATTGGATTTGATTAATTACATAAAACAACGTTATTATTCTTTAGAAGAAATATCAGTTACCATAAAACCTAATATTAGCTAAAAGTGAACGATTTGGGGGCTTTTAAGAGGAGATCCTTTCAGGAAAGCCGATCTCTGGAACACACCCCTTGC